TAGTCATTATTTCTCCTTAGCCTTCTCTGAACTGTGATAATTTTTCAGAGTTTCTTTTCAACAACCTTGGAAGTTTTGAGAAGGACTGGTCCCTTATTTTGTAGAATGTCCCTCAAGTGGGTTTTTATCTGATGTTTTTCTCATAGTTAGACTGGGGTCATGGGCTTTGGGGAGGAAAACTTCAGAACGGATATACTCTTCAATTCTTTTCCTAACAAGGGTCTATGCTATCAATGTGACTATCACTGATGCTGTTAACCTAGATCACTTGGCTAAGATAGTGTTTCAGGTGTCTCCACTACAAAATGCTCTTCCCCCCCACTACTTTGCACACCATACTCTCTGCAGCAATAGTAGGCACAGCCTACCCTTACATGGTGGGAAATTATTCTCTATCTCCTTCAGACAGGGCAGGTATCAACATAAATTATTTAAAATTCTTCTATTCAGACACCCATCTCTTCCTCTTCTCCCTCCCCCTGTTGACTTTATTCAATCACATACTTATTGAATCACTTCGCTCCTGCATACTTTCAGCCTAAGCCTATCATTTTTGTTTTGTAAGCATCTCCTTAATTTGTGATACCATAATAAACTCGAGGATTATCTTGTATATTCTCTGTCTTGGACCTAGAATCAACAATTTCCCCAAGGACTCTGGTTTCTTTCATTGGAGAATGGCTTTTGAAACCAAGATCTTGGTACTGGGTGTGCCAGTCGCTACAGGGGATACATTGCTTCTAGGCCCTCTCAGTGGACTATGTGTGCATACTAACCCATGTATGTATACATATCTATAATTATTTCAATAGTCATCCATCTGTGTCCACATTAAATATTTAAGCATGAGTTCACAATGATGTTTCCTACTCTAATACTGTACCACATGGATCCTTTGCTTGTCTGTAACCTCCCACTTGAAAACTGAGAAAATGGGATCTTACTCTTATTGGTTCATTTACTTACTTTCTCCATCCAGGTATACGTACATGAAGAGTGGCTTCAGGATTGGTAAGTTATGTTCCTTTGAAAAATAGCTTTACCAACTAGAGGACAGTGCTTATGTGCAGTTCCTTTGCCCTTTTATCTTCTGCTTTCCAATCATTTCCAAAGTTACTCAGGTCAACAGTTCTTTAACCCAACCTCTTCAGCGAGGTTATGCTGTACACTTAGCATACAGTTAGATCTTTTTGTCAGTGTGCATTTCATCCTGGGATCTCTCAATCTACTGGTATTTTAAATTTGCATATGTTAAATGTATTCTCTGCTCTGTAAAGTTCTGTGAATTTTGACAAATATACAGTGTCATGTATTCATCACTGTGGTACTATGTGGAATACTCTCACCACCCTAAAAGAATCTCCTGTGCTTTACCTAGTCAACTATCTCCCTCCCCAAACCCCTTGAAATCTCTCATCTGTTTTCTGTCCATATATTTCTGCCTTTTCAAGACTGTCATATGAATAAGATCATAGATTATGTTGCCTTTTCAGATAGGCTTTTTTTCATTTAGTAATATGCATTTAAGAATCATTCACATTGTGGCATGGATTAATAGCTCATTCTACTTTATTGCTAAGTAATATTATCTGTGGATATGTCTGTTTGTTTATCTGTTCGCCTTCTGGAGAACTCGGTTGCTTTGAGTTTGGGGTAATTATGAATAAAACTTCTAGAAACATTCAGGTGCAGGTTTTGTGTGGACATAAATTCAAGTCAATTGAGTGAATACCTAAAAGTGAAACTGATGGGGAATATGGTAAGTCTAAACTGTCTTTCAAAGTGGCTATACCATTTTGCATTCTGACCAGCAATGAAGAGGAATGCTTCACCAGCAGTATGGATATTGTCATTTTTTATTTTAAGATTTCAGTCATTCTAATAGGCATGAAGTGGTATCTTGTTGTTTTAATTTGCAGTTCTGTAATTACAAATAGTGCTGGGCATCTCTTTATATACTTATTTGCTACCTGTATATCTTCTTTGGTGGGGAGTACGTTCAGTTATTTTGTCCATTTTTAACTGGGTTATTTATTTTCTTATTTTTGATTTGTAAGAGGTTTTCTAAAGAAATATTTCAGATACACATCGTTTATTAAATATGTGAGTTGCAAATATTTTCTCCTAGTCTGTGACTTATCTTTTCATTTTCTTAATAGTGTCCTTAACAGAACAAAGGTTTTTAATTTTTTTATTGTATTTCTATCCTCTTTTTGTCCATGGTTATATCCTCTACTATACGGAACTATTCCACTTACCGTTAGAGCAAATCGTATTCATTTCCGTTACTCTAAATAATTGTCCAATGGCCGAGAGCTGTGGCTCATGCCTGTAATCCCAGCTACTTGGAAGGCTGAGGCGGGAGAATCACTTGAACCCAGGAGGCAGAGATTGATGTGAGATGAGATCGTGCCACTGCAATCCACCCTGGATGACAGAGTGAGACTCTGTCTCAAAAAAATAAAAAATAATAAATAAATAAATATGCATTATAGTGTATGGAAAAGAACTGCTATATGTGGCATGCCACTCATTATGTTAGTTTTTCCCCATTCTCCATAAAATGACCACTGTGTCTGTCAGAGCTGTGACACAGAAATCTCTAACCATCTAAACACCTGAGCATGCCCAAGACAGGAGGGGAACTATTGCATTCCATATAGAGTACAGTAATCATGGGCATTGGGTTCAGAGACCTCAGTTCAAATTTTGCTCTTAACATTTCCTGGTTGTGTGAATGTAGAAAAGTAACTTAAGTTTTCTGAACTTTAGCCTTCTCACCTATAAAATGAGGATAATATAGTCGACATGTCTTAGGTGTTATTAGAAGGACACGTACAAAGTGTTTAGCACAGGGCCTGATATAGTGTAGCACCCAGTAAATGTTAGTGCACACTTGCTTTTCCCCCTTGTGTCCCACATTTTCTTTCAGCCTCTCCTGATTTTTCCCAGTGGAACTCCTTACCTTGCATCCATCATTTCTATTGCAATGCATTTCTATGCCTTTTTGAGGAGCTTTTCTATTCCTTCTACACTGAAAATGGCTCATCCTATTGATATAATTTCCCTGCTCCCAGCAAATGGCCGCTGTAGCACTTCCTGATACCTAGATCACAAAGTGCACGAACAGGTTAGGGGAGCACATGTTAAAAAACAATATACCGGCAAGCTCACCTTTCTCTTGCTTCTCATTTCCAACCTATCACCAAGCCCTGGGAATTTGACTCTGTAAGATCTTTTCAATGGGCTTACTCTGTGATTGAACATAAAAAAATTTTTTAAATAACTCAACCTAAAACCATAGAAGTATTTTTTGCTTTTATTATTATTTGTAAATAAGTCATAATAATTGTACACATTTGTGGAGTACAGTGTGATATTCTGATACAGGTATACAATGTGTAATGATCAAATCAGAGTAATTAGCATATCACTTCAAACATTTATCATTTCTCTGAGTTGGGAACATTCAAAACCTGCTTTTCTAGGCATTTTAAAACATACAAGAAATGTTGTTAATTAAAGTCACCTACAATGGTATAGAACGTTAAAATGTATTCCTTCCATCTAGCTGTGCTTTGTGTCTGTTGACCAACTTTTGACCGCGCTTCTCCTCACCCCCACCTGCCTCTGGAATCACTGTTCCACTCTCTACTTCTGTGAGATAAACTTAGTAAGAAATAATACTATTAGGATGATAATTTTCCACAAATTCATCTATAAATTTATTGCAATTCTAATTAAAAATCCCATATGATTTATTATGGACCTGACATACTCAAACTTGTTTGGAAGAGAATATGTTGAAGAATTGCCAAGAAATGTATCAGAACATTCTATAAAGCCACAATAACTAAAGCAATCTGATATTGACAATGTGTATTTTATCAAAGGAAAATAATAATCAAACATTTACATATGTGGTTTGTTCATATATATGTATTATGTGTGCATATTTGTGTGTATATATAGTATTTGTATGCATATATTTAAGCATAACAATTCATCACAGAAAGGATGGACCATAGCAAAGGGTCTTTATTACACAATACTTCTGAGCACAGGTCCTGGCACCAGACTGCTTGCTTTGAATCTTGACTCTGTTTCTGGGATTTGAATCCTGACTCTGTCAGAGCTATGTGACCTTAGGCAGGTTGTTTAATTTCTTGGGGCATGGCCTCAGCTTTCTTTTGTGCTGAATAAGACAAAAAAATAGTATCTAACTCCAAAGGTACTTAGGAGGGTTAAATGAAGGTAGGTAGGTAAGGGGCATAGAATAGACCCTGGCACTAAGCACCAGTGAATATGAACCATTCTTATTATTATCTATAATATAGAGTGTAAGCATTTGTCTATCCACTTTGAAAAGTAACATTTGGCAGGGCACGTTGGCTCATGCCTGTAATCCCAGCACTTTGGGAGGCTGAGGTGCGTGGCTCACTTAAGGTCAAGAGTTCAAGACCAACATGGCCAACATGGCAAAACTGTGTCTCTATTAAAAATATTTAAAAAAAATAGCTGGGCATGGTGGCAGGCACCTGTATTCTCAGCTACTCTGGAAGCACAAAAATTGCTTGAACCCGGAAGGCGGAAGTCGCAGTGAGCAAGATAGAGCCACTGCCCCCCAGGGTGACAGAGGAAGACTCTGTATCAAAAAAAAAAGTAACCCTTCCTTTAGTGACTAGTTTAGTGTCCTACACTGATAGGTGCCTATCCAGTTGCTGATTTCTTGTGATGTGGATTTATTTTTACTTTATAAAATAAAGAGGCAATCTTAAACTTTGTTATGAAAATAGTAAGTGGTAAGGAACCCTTTAAGGGTTATGGTTTTAACATATTATTCAAAATAAGAATTGCAAACTCAATTGCTCAGAGGGATCAGCAAGTAAATCCGTATAGTAGACTGGGTAGAGCATGTGGAGAAATGAAGGCCTTCCAGACATTTAAGAAGACAACCAGTTTTCGACACCACCCAATTATTGCCAGGCAGAAACATGGCGTGCACATTTTTTAAGATTTTTATTTTCATGCAAAATTTTCTGGCTTCTAAATGTTGAAAAGAAATTCAAAGTCTGAAGCATTGTATGGATCAAACAAAATACATGTCTAGAGATCAGAGTTGGTTCATATTGTTTGTTGCCATCTGAGACTTAGAACCTCCTTTAGACTATACTACCAAGTCTTTCTCCCAACTGTGTACCCCGGTTGTACCTTACGCAGTGCTACCCACGTGATAAGGGCTCAATATTTATTTTTTTTGTTGAATTAACTTGATTTTAATTCTGAATCTTTCTGATTCTAATCGATGCTTTGAATTAATAATAATAGCTCCAGGCTAGGCATGGTGGCTCACGCTTGTAGTCCCAGCACTTTAGGAAGTTTAGGTGGATGGATAGCTTGAGCCCAGAATTCGAGACCAGCCTTGGTGACGCAGGGAGACCCCATCTCTACAAAACAAACAAACAAACACCACAAAAAGCATTAGCCAGGCATGGTGGTGAAGTGTTGTAGTCCCAGCTACTTGAGAGGCTGAGCTGGGAGAATCACCTGAGCCTGGAAAGGTTGAGGTACCAGTGAGCTGTGATTACAGTCACTGCACTTCAGTCAGTGCCACAGTGATACACCATCTTAGTAATAATCATAATGGTAATAGTAATAACCATAGCTCCCTCTGTTAGCCATTTATTTTAAATATCAGATGCTGGTAGGGACTTTACACATATCCCTCTGATCATTACAATATTCCATAAAGGTTGCTTTTCTCATTTTATAGATGGGAAAACTAAGAGGTTCAGTTAGTTTTTTAAGGTCCAAGGCTAACAGTGTTAGTGATATGACATTGTCTAGGTCTGCCTTTTTGAAGGAGTGAGAAGTCAAAGGGAGTAAACAAGAGGTCCAGATCCCTATAGGGTGTAACATTTCCTGGCATCAGCTAACTGGGAATGCTGATCCTGTTTTGTCCTGGAAAAACTTTTTAGGGCCATTCTATTGGATGACCTTGTCAGGCTTACAATGCAAAAAAAAAAAAAAAAAAAAAAAAAAATTACGGGATAAATGATGTCTTCCACTTACAAATGAGAGTGATAGCTATCTAAATGTTCATTTGTAAATCAGTTGTTTGAAACTCAGAATTCATTTTCCTGCAGAAACAGTTACAAATGGTGGTTATGTTTCCCCTGAGGCTCATCCACAAAAGACCATTTAGCCTTAATGTATCTGAAATAGTGTACACTTGTTGTGAAAATGTGTAGAAAATAGAACTCTTGCAATTCTAGTCATTAAAGGAAAAAAGTAAAATTGAATGAGAACTTTAAACTGCATCTTGAATGCTGATTCAAAAGAAAAGCAGATTTATCCAGAAAAGGATGCAGAACTTTGAAAATAATTTTGAGGGGACTTTAAAGGGGGCTTCTGAACACTTTCATAGCACTTGAGAAATTAATGAAATCATATCTTTGAAATATCGCATTTCATATCATGATTTCTAGATTTTTAACATAACTTTCCATGATTAATGCTATTTCTAGGGTTCACTTTAGAAGAAGAAGGGAAAAAAGGGTGGAAAAGGAAAAGATAAATGAAAATGGGCTTCCTAATGATGTAGAAGTTGACTGAGATAGCATGCGAAAGAAAATTAAAGATCATGTTTGTTTTTCTATAGGCATGCAAGAAGCAAAAGTAGCCATGAATTATGAACAGTGGAAGGAAGAAAGCATAGATTCTGATTTCACTTGAGAGAGACAAAACAATGCTGGTGGCAGAGATCTTTTCTCTGAGAAATTCCAGAAACTGTTACTGTTTTATTCTATTGTCTCAGGGCATCATACTTCATGGCAAATGTAGGATGGGTACAGGATTGAGATCAAGAGTGCAAAGACTGTTCAAATGGACTAAATGTTGAGAATACCAAGTATTTATTAAACAAGAGAGATTTTGTTCTCGAACAGAAGTCATTATCATTTTTTATTGTCTAGGTTTTATCATTCATCTTGTTTAAACTTCAGCCAGGAGAATGAAAGGTAGAAGTCTTTTAAAAAAAAAAATATTGTGGGCTGGTATGGTGGCTCATGCCTGTAATCCCAGCATTTTGGGAGGTGGAGGCAGGCGGATAACCATAGGTCAGGAGTTTGAGACCAGCCTGGCCAACGTGGCAAAACCCCGTCTCTACTAAAAATACAAAAAATTAGCTGGCAGTGGTGGTGCATGCCTGTAATCCCAGGTAGTCGGGAGGCCGAGGCAGGAGAATCCCTTTTGAACCCAGGAGGTGGAGGTTGCAGTGAACTGAGATTGCACCACTGCACTCCAGCCTGGACAACAGAGTGAGACTCCATCTCAAAAGAAAAACAAACAAACAAAGAAAGAACCACAAACCAAATATATGTATATTGGATGGCCAAATGGTTGAACATTGAACAGGAAATTGAGGAAGAATGAACAACCTCCCAGACACTTCCACAGTGTGCTTGCAAGGAGCCTAAAAGCTAGCTGCACAGAGCAGAGGTCCTTCCTGCCAGCAGAGGCCCTTCCTTTCTCTATTTCTCTAGAAATAGAGAAGAGAAAGACAGTTGGGGGACGACTACAGGGATTATTATGGATATAGGACAAAACTGAACCAGGGCAAAGAAACTGAAAACCAACAAGGCCAAACCAATGGACACCTTGAGGTGATGTGGGCAGATGCAGAGTGTCCCTTTTTTGTTCTTTGGAGAGTAAGATAGGCTTCCACCACGGGCCCTCTTGTCAATAAATCTTCCTGGGTTAAGTGGTTAGTTAGACTAAATTGCTCCTCCACCAGTCTGAGCTGACAGCAGTACAGAAACATCAAAACCATTGCTGTGTTGTCACCATAACCAAAGAGTGTTGTTAATGCATTTCCGTTACAGGAAAATTTTAACTTGCCTGCCTTTATTTTTTTTTGATCATTTGAATTTAAGACACCAGTTCCCAGTAGGATTCTCTATGACAATTTTCAATGATGAGAAAAAGTATCAAGGGTTTCTGGTCTCTGAAGAATTGTGTTCTTTTTGGCCAATAAAATTGAAATGAAAGAGATTTAAATTGTATTAGTTTCTCATTTAAAACTGAAGTTTCAAGTCACCTTCCATTACTACTGTATGGGATTTCTACACAAACCTATCGGGACCTGAGATATGCTAAGCCTTTACTAAATTTCATGGCTACAGGGATATTTCTTTTGGGGACTGGAGATGAGAAGAGGTAATACCTACAATCTCATTTTCTCCTTAATTCTTCCTTGATTGAACTGGTGTCCATTTGCTTAATCTGTTCACTGTGTGTTATAGAAATTTACAATTTACTTTGCAAGTGTTAGCTATATTCATGTATGTGCTATCTTTCCTTTCTTCAATTAAATTGTGAGCTCCTTTAAGGAATAATGATCAATTTCTTATATTTTTTCTTCTCTCTCAATGACCAAAGCCAGAGTATCTTACTTAAGACACTTAAAAGTGGAATATAAAAAGTAATTTCATGCACTCCATACTGCCTTATTTGCTAATTGCTATATGCATGCAAATACCATCTCACCAACTATGCCCTAAGCACCTCATTGGTGGAGTCTTGTTTTGCAGTAGCCGTTATAACAGTTCGGGTCTTTTATTAGTGCATTGTAGGGACAGAGTAGCCTCTCGACAAATAGTTGTTTGTTAATAGTCAAGTTTGGAGGGCGGTAGATGAGACAAAGTAGAAAATGAGAGCTTTTGAGTTAAGCTATGACAACTAAAATCTATATTTAAAGTTTACAACCTAATTGTATGTTCTTTTTAGTACATACCACATCATTAAAACTTGATAAATAATGTTTCCTCAATACTATTACTTAACGAGGAGCAATAAAAATATGACGCTGGCAATAAAAGCTGTTCTATTGTTACTGCCTTACCTCCTGGTTGCTGAGCAAATGCTAGAAAGACAAAATGGGAAGTAGTTTAAATTTGAGAGATTTGGATCATTTTCTTGGCAAAGTCAAGAGACCATTTGCTTCTTTTAAGCAGCCTAAAAGGTGTTAAAGGATTAGAGGCAGAGGAAATACCAGCATTGCTGTGCTGTTAGATTCCTAGAAAATCAAATCGGGCCGGTAACAAGATTGAGCAACCCATGTCCTTAGAATTTTACTTCCCTTTACACCTATAACCTCCGTATTCTATTCTTAATAACCCATAGAAATAAACAGGGATGCTAAAATATTTTTTGAAGATAAATTCTATAATTGTTTCAAATTTGGTTGTTGATAAATATGATACGGATGAATATAAATAAGGAATAGCTTTTCAATATGAAAAGAGTCTCCTAAAATTACATAGGTTGTAAATTAGAGATGAATTTCTTATCAGTTTTAGTGCCTTGTGTGTCTCCTATTGTCAACTAAATGGTGTCACACAACACATCCATTGCTAGTCTTATGAGATGGAGCAGAGTTCAACAGGCACATTTCAAGGCCAGGAGGGCTGATTAACTGAAGGTTCAGTAGGTAAGAAAAGCACTAGAAACCTAATGATGAGTGAAATTTAGAATTCTCAAGAGGATAGAAATCCTGTTAGAAAAAAAAAAACCACAGGATTGATACGATCTGAAAGTTGTCACAGCTTCAACAGTCAGTATTGCCAAAGAAAATAAAAGTGGGACATTTTTTAAAAGCAGTAAACTTAGATTTCACTCAGGAATAAGTATTGCAGTGTGGGAGAGACCTCAGCACAACAGCTCAGTCAAACAAAAGGCAGGAGACTGTTTAAAAGCTGGGGTGTACCCAAAGAAAGGCATTAAGGGAGAGGTTGGTCCATTAGTCTATCCGGTTTTGCTAACTAGTGTTCACCTAGAGGAGCAAACTTCTCATATCTTTTTGACAGAAATTAGTGGTGCAAGTTGGAGCAAGGTATCCACTGAAGTTAGGTCCTTACTGTCCTACAGGGACTGGGAGTAAGAACTATTGTCTTGAATGTTTGTATTTCAAGGAGATGGCTCTCACGTCCTTGAGGAGCCAGTTCTGGATGGTAAAGGATTTATTTCAGTGGGGGCAGAGAAAAGATTTATAATTGCAAGCTTTCTAAAATAAGTGCTTTAAGAGGGATTCAAGGGCCTATTGGCCTATCACCAGGTTTTGGCTGGAACAAACAGTAGATTCTCCTGGCAGCATTGAGCTTTCTCAGAAAGTCATTTTAAGGGGGGTTAGTGTGAGAAAGACTGAAAAAGAAGTTATCCCAGAACTGTTCTCACCTTCGAGGCAGGCTGCGTCTCGGCCTCATATTTGTCCTCATGTTATTATCAGGGGACTCACAGTCAGGGAGAGTTGGTATAGAGGTTGTCAGACTTTAATCCCCCCCAACTTCTAGTAACTTACCAGAAGATGCCACAAAGTTTAGTGGTGATGGAGACCCTTCTAGCTAGAAGAAACTTTTGGTATTTATTTTTAATTTGATTTGTGATGTGTTCTAGCATTGTGAAATGAGGCAAAAAGAAATCCTGAAGCTGGTTCACAAAAGTAAGTTGGTGTAAAATCCTATGTGGTCCAGGTTTATCTCAACAATACAATGATCCTAATACCCTTCTCCCTTAGCCAATCTCCTCCCACCACCATAGCAACCATATTTCATAATAGGTGATTCCAACTCATAGAATGCCTCATCACTGCCCTTTGTACATGCAGATTGGGAAAGATGGAAGAGACTGTTCTTGGGAATAGCACACAGCAATCTGGGCCAAATCTGGGTGGTGTGTGCCCCACTATTTGCCAAGCTTATTATTTTTTTCTCTCCTTTGGCCTTACTCAACTAGAAATCCTCTGCATCTATTAGATGTCACTACATAAATAGCCCCAGTCTTCTTTCTTTTATCTCTGGCAGTGAACAATAGAAGTCATTTAAGAATATGAAAAAACAAGTGCAGTGTGAGGTGTATGGTAGCCATTGCTATTAAAATTACACATTCACTTTTCTATAATGAATGAAATTCTGGTGATAAATAATGGTGCCCCCTGAAAAAATTAGTTTTGCAGTTAGGACAATTTCTGCCTTTTATACAAACTGCCTAATATCATGCTTCAAGACAGTTATTTACCATAGTTATAACCAAATGTATTCTCCTGAAATGACTTGTTTTTCCTACAATGTGAAATATTTAATTTTTTGAAGATAATTTTGTTTGAACCAGCAGCTGTACTTTTAGGAACATAACCTGAAGAAATGATTGAATAGACTCACAAAGATGTAGACGTAGATGTAGGTTAAAGTGAGTTCGTCACAGGCAATCAAAGATGTAGTTTAAAAATGCAGAATTGTTTATAGTAGTAAAAATTGTGAACAGTCCCAGATATTGAACTTTGGAGGACTCATGAGGTTACCTAAGGTAAACGCATATAGTAGATAACAGTGTAACCTTTAAACTGATGATAGCTGTATAATATTTTTGAAATGGAAAGATTTTATGATAATTTTTAGTGAAAGAAGTAGCTTTCAAGCAATGTAAACACTGACATTTAGTTATTAAATGATACATATACATATTTGTATATATTTATACATACATACATAAACACACACACATACTTATATACATTTGGCTAAACAAAAGCCTAAAAGAATGATTTGTAATTTTGTGTATGCTTTTCCTAATTTTTTTTATTTTTCAGTGTTACTGTGTCACTCAGGCTGGAGTGCAGTGGCGCAATCTCAGCTCACTGCAACCTCTGCCTCTCAGGTTCAAGCGATTCTCCTGCCTCAGCCTCCCAAGTAGCTGGGATTACAGGCATGCACCACTACACCCGACTAATTTTTTGTATTTTCAGTAGAGGTGGTGTTTCGCCATGTTAGACAGTCTGGTCTCAAACTCCTTACCTTGGGATCCGCCCTCCTCTGCATCCCAAAGTGCTGGGATTATAGGCATGAGCCGTTGCACCCAGCTGCTTTTGCTATTTTATAATTATTTTCCTAAGAAAATCCTATACTAATGGTGTAACAACCAAAATAAAAAAGAATGAGGAACGTAAAATTGCACTTTGCTTTTCTTACTCATTATGTCAACAAAACCTTAGACAACCACACTGGTCCTTCTTCTTTTTCCTGGCCAAGTAAACCCTATTCATATTAATGATAACTGGAGAAAATGTGCTTAGTGTTGGGAACAAGGATTTGTTGGTGTAAACCTATCGTGGTATCTTTCTCAGGGGACTGAGTAAATACAGGGCTCTATGCAACATAGGAAGAATTCTTAAGGAGCACCTCAAATTCTAAAATTCAGATCCCTGAAAGAGAGAGGGAAAATCAATACTGCCCTCTGACTTAGAGTGAGAATGTGCCCTGCTGTGAAGGGACGAAGGTCACCCTAAGGTGGGAAAAACTAAAGGTAAGTACTATACGTATGTCTGGGACACAATTTTGACCTCGGTGGAAAAACACACCCATTACTGAGTAGCTTTGTCCTCCACTTATAAGGCATTGGATAGATGTTCAACAGGGGGAGCTTTACCTATGGAATTTTTGAAAGTCATGGTAGGGGCTATATTCCAGAAGGGATGCAAACCCTAAGAGACTGGTCATCTGCATTCTGAGGCTTGACAGTGAACTGAAAGTGTGGTCACTCTCTGGGGAACCTGGAGGGCTTGCCATGCGTGGCACAGGGGCTTCGGTGTATCAGCATTTTTTTTCCTTGAAGCAATCTGGTCAGCTTGAAGAATCTGAATATCATAGAGGGAGAAAGCCTTCCATAGAGCATTAAAGTTTGTGACCTGAATTCCAGATGTGTGCACTGGTTGGTTTATCCCGAAGAAGCAAACGTAAATAAGATCACCCACACAGCACAATTTACACACAAGCATGTTTACTTATTTTTCTGTTTTCTCTGTTGCACTCTCAGATTTTTAAAAAACACTTACCATGACATCCTCCAGGCCTCACCTTTCCTGGCACAGAGGTGTTTGTAATAAATAGTAATGGAATGAAGGAGTGAGGGTGCTATATAATGTTTACTGATATCCTACTTTTATAAATCAGTCCTCATAATATGGCGCAGGGCAGCGTGATTTATACCCAGTTGTTATTGCCATTTGTATTCAAAAGTAACAAGCTTTGTCAGTTTACAAAAATGCTTTTTCAGTCTTGGAATTTTTATTTATTTAGACTGTTTTTTTTTCTCTCTCTCTCTCTCTCTATCTCTGTTCTTCTCTTTTCTCCCAGTTCTTATGTATCAGAATCACCTGGGATGATTGCTAAAATTCAGAATTCAGGGGTCCAGTGCCCGGTCATAATCTCTAGGGCCGGGATCTGAGGATTAACATTTGTTAAAGACTGCAGCTCATTCTCATGGCACTCAATTTTGAGAACCATTTGTAGTTAATCTGTTTAAAGAATCACAGTTTTATACATTGTGCATCTGAAAATGCAAGGTATCATCTAGAAACTTTTAAAACAACTTTTCCTCTCCTAAGAACTGTAAAATAACAAAGTGGACAAGTGGAGAGTAAGGGTGATAGAGGTGGCTGGATCAATAGGAGCTCTCTTTCCTGTGAGGGTAACTTGATAGTGACTAGGCAGTGAAGTTGGAATGAATTGATTTTGTTCAAACAAGTTTTCCTGTTTCTCAGAGTTCTCGGTGAAGGTTTTCTGCAGAGTTCTTGCAGTGCGCTGTTTCACAAACCATCAGAGGCATTTAGAAGGGCCAGGGTTTTCTTCTAAGGCTTAAGAACTTTAAATCTCTTGGGTGGAAGTAGTTTTCAGTGAATTGTTTGTTCTTGTGATATAAGACATAGTACACTAACCACTTGAATCTACCGTTCCTACTTACTGCTTTAAAGCCAGGATAGCATCAAGTTCTTGATGTACTTTACTAATCATGGCTTTCATTTTCCAGTGTGTATTTAATGGATATCTATTCATTTATCATTCTTAAGTGCGGAACACTAAAGAAAGAATATTGCAATCACAGATGCTATCAGGCTCAATTATTTTAAATTAACTGGGTATTGTTATGAAAATATTCTGTGATATCCCTATCTTCAAGTACAAAATAGGCAAGGGAAAAAAATGCACCTCAAATAAAAAAGTAGTTGGCAAAACTACTGTTTGATCTATTTTCTCTCTATTAGAAATATGAATGGCTCTCAAATGTTTTACAAGGATTGTACATTGGACACCAATAAAACTATTCAACACTAAGGCCCCAAAAAGAAACAAAAATATATGGTGGCTCTTTTTGAAAAACAATGAATTTCATGTCTTTCTAGTAAAACACACTATAAAATAGCTTTTCTCATGTTTACATTTATATAATCATTGAATCCTATGCCATAGTCCCTGAAAGTTCAAACAGGAAATAGTGTGTGTGTGTGAGTGGGGAGCAACTCTGTGGGACTGGTGATGGGTTGGTGGATATTATTTTTCTTTTTTAATAAAAGTATAACAATCATACTTTTGGCAATTACCAAACTCAGTGAAATGTACACAAATACCCATACCTGTATAATCAGCACCCAGATAAAGAAATAGAACATGAAAAGCACCCCAGAAAACTGTGCTTATGCCCCCTTTCAGGGACTAATTCTTAAAAAGATAACCATTGTCTTGACTTCTAACATCATAGATTAGGTTGCCCTTAAGTTCTTTATAAAAATGGATTCTTTTTTTTTTGAGTCAGAGTCTCACTCTGTCACCCAGGCTGGAGTGCAGTGGCATGATCTCAGCTCACTGCAACCTCTGCCTCCCAGCTTCAAGCAATTCCACTGCCTCAGCCTCCCGAGTAGCTGGGATTACAGGTGCGCACCAGCACACTGGCTAATTTTTGTATTTTTAGTAGAGGCATGGTTTCACCATGTTGGCCAGGCAGGTCTTGATCTCCTGACCTCAAATGATCCAAGGCCAAGGCCTCCCAAAGTGCTGGGATTACAGGCATGAGTCACTGCACCTAGCCAAAAATGAATTTTTATATGCACTCTTTTGTGACTGGCTTCTTTGCAGCATAATGTTTGTGAGATCCATACATACTTTTGGGTGTACTTGTGGTTTTTTTATTCCCATTGCAGTATATTATTGAATTTCTTGAAATACTATGTATATATTTATACACACACACATATATACATACACTTTTAAATACAACTATGCATATATTTATATACATATATACACATGTACATATATGCATATAAACATGTATAGGTATATTTATATACACATACATATGTGTATGTATGTATATGCACATATACATACACATACACATGCATATATGTATATGCATATATACATACATTTGTGTATGTATATGTATGTATTATTTCTACTGATGATAGATTATTGAGTGACATCTAAATTTAGGCAGCTAAAAATACTGCTGCTACTCAATTCATTTTATACAGCTAACATTACCCCAAAAGCAAAACCATACAGACAGTATAAAAAAGCTACCGATAAATACTTCTCATGACCTAAATTTTCAACAATATATTAGCAAATTGAATAAAAATATGTAAGAAGAATTATACAGTATGACCAAGTGAGATTTATTCCAGGTATGAAAAGCTGGCTTAACATTCAAAAACCAATATAATCCCTCTTATCAACAGGGTAGGAAAAAATAGA